ACCCCTGGAATAGGATTCCCCTAGGTAAGCCCCCCCACACTCGGGACGGATAGGACTCCACCGTAGGAAGAAGGTGGATAGTCTTCGCCGACTCCGTCCACACCTTTGGGAACCCCTCGAACAGGATTCCCCTAGGTAAGCCCCCCCCCCATTGAGAACCCCCACACTTGGGATGGATAGGACTCCACCAGGGTGCTACAGACCCCCCTATAGAGGATAAATAGGGTAAGAAGGTGGATAGTACAGAATTTAGATTGAGAAGATGTGCCATACTGAGTCCAAAGAAAGAAGACTCTGTATAGATCTTTAAATTGAGAAGATGTGCCATACTGAGTCTAAAGAAAAAAGACTCCGTATTGATCTTTTAATACATATGCTTGCTAGCAGAGGAGTTAAGGTTACGCCCAGTCAGATGGAATGTTTTATACAAGAAGTGTGTCCATGCTTTTCTGAGGAAGGAAAGGTGCCGGAAAGGTAAATGTAGAGGCATGGGAGAAGGTAGGCCAAAGGAGCCTTATCCTTAACCCCACTGCAGCCTTTCCATCCCGGAAAAGTGCAGGATTGGAAAGCTCTCCCTGGGGTGATAGATCAGGACTCAGGTAATAGCGGAAAGTGCCAATCCTATTCTTAAAATGGATACAAGAGAGCATTTGGGGTTTTTCTTTTTAATGCCTGCCTTGGATTGAGTAAATGCATTGCGTGCGTCACCACAATGGACCCAGAGAAGCTCCTTGTCTCATCGTTCCAAAGACTTAGAGTTGCCCCGATGACAGAAAAGCGGAAAAAAGAAGAAAAGGAAGGCTATGCAAGGGACTGAGGTGCCAACATAGGGTCAGCTGAAGAAGTTAACAACTAGGCCCAACAGATGGTAGAAAATCAAGAAGTGGAAGCTACTCTCTCAGCCATGTCCGAGGACTCTGAGTAAATCAGCAAAAGAAACTTTCATTTAGCAGAAACTCACTTATTTCGTCAAATGGAAAGACTTACTTACAGGAGCCTGGAAGGGACCTCATGTACTTTTAACCTGGGGGAGAGGAGATGCTTGTATATTTCCACAGGATACAGACTCACCTGTGTAGATTCCAGGCCGTCTAATCCGACCTTATGTCACACCACCCTCCGTCTCCTCCTCATCCTCCTTCTCCCCGGTATCATCTATATCAGCCGACCCAGAGGGCACAGCTGACTCCTCCCCGGACACCTACACCACCATCAAGCACGGCCCTGATGGACCCTTTCATGCAGCCCTTCAACTCGCTGACGCTTCTGGAAGCCTGTCGCCAATGACGCTGCCCGCTAGCCAGATCAACAAGGACAACCAAACCACCGACTTGAGGACAGCTGAAATCCCTTGACTGAAGAGACCAGCAACCTTCTACAGAAACAAGGCTCCTTGTGCGCTCCATCCACTATGTTTACAGCTATGCTCACTGTCATTGCTTGCCAGTCTTCTTCCGAGTCTTAAACAGCCCAATCTGAGAGGTGGCCACTGATTTGCATGCGCTATCATTTAAAAAATAAAAAAGGGGGAATTTGCCGGGAGCCGGTCCATCCTTGCTGCAGAGAAGAAACATCTGCACAGCATATGTTTCAAGGTACCTGACATATATGGCATACTGTTCTTAATGTTTGCTCTCCTTAGTGCCATGTGTTTTAACCAAGGTCACCTCTCTGAGAAAGGTTGTTTCCCCAGGTGGGGATCTTTCCCTGAGGTTAGGGAGGGGATACAATCCCTTAATTAAGTGCCAGGCGGGTAGTTAAGCTACATAATCTTTACTCCCTGGAATGGAGATAAGAAACGCCCTAACCTTTGTAATAGAAATTGACAGGATTAAAATCGGCTGGTATAAATACGGATGTAACAAGACAATAAACATCAGATCATCACATCCTCATCACATCCTCATCAGTTCCTAACCAGAACCTAGCCAGAGAACATGGCAAAAGATCCTGGACAGAACCTGGCTACAGAACTTCACTGGAGAACCTAGACAGAACATGGCAGGAGAACTTGGAGAAGCTGGATGGAGAACCTAGCGAAAGAACATAGCACCAGAACTTCGTTGGAGATCCTGGAGAACCTGGCTGGAGAACCTAGCAAGAGAACCTGTACACAGAACTTGGCTGGAGATCTTGGACAGAACTTGGCTGGAGATCCTGGAGGGAGAACCTCGCTATGCTGATGAACTGAACCCTGTCTCCATGTCATTCATTCTTCGCCGACTCCGTCCACACCTTTGGGGATCCCTAGACCCGTTGGGGTTGGACCCCAACACAGGATCTCCAGCAAAGTTCTGGCTAGGATCTCCAGCGAAGTTCTGGTCAGGATCTCCAACAAAGTTCTGGTGCCATGTTCTCTCGCTAGGTTCTCCAGCCAGGTTCTCCAGGTTCTCCAGCCAGGTTCAGTCACCAGGTTCTTTAGCCAGGTCCTATCCGGGTTCTTTTGCCATGTTCTGTCTAGGTTCTCCAGTGAAGTTCTGTAGCCAGGTTCTGTCCAGGATCTTTTGCCATGTTCTCTGGCTAGGTTCTGGTTAGGATCTGATGAGGATCTGATGAGGTTGTGATGAGGCTCTGATGAGGATCTGATGATTATTGTCTTGTTACATCCGTATTTATACCAGCCGATTTTAATCCTGTCAATTTCTATTACAAAGGTTAGGGCGTTTCTTATCTCCATTCCAGGGAGTAAAGATTATGTAGCTTAACTACCCGCCTGGTACTTAATTAAGGGGTTGTATCCCCTCCCTAACCTCAGGGAAAAATCCCCACCTGGGGAAACAACCTTTCTCGGAGAGGTGACCTTGGTTAAAACACATGGCACTAAGGAGAGCAAACATATTAAGAACAATATGCTATATATGCCAGGTCCCTTGAAACATATGCTGTGCAGATGTTTCTTTCCTGCAGCAACTGTGTCAAGCAGCAAGGATGGAACGGCTTCCGGCAGGGAGAGAGAAACATGGATGAGAGTCATCCATCTGCTGCCTCCTGCACGCCCCCTACTGGGCACTGGGTCCGCACCCCCGGCAGGACCGAGAGGCCAACCCCACCGCCTCTCTGTGCGGCCAGGTGGCCCCTTTTCTAAATAATGTCGCATTCACAGGACCAGGAGTTAGGACTCAGGCCTATCTTTGGGGGGTGGGAGGGGAAGGACTACTCTTGAACCAAACAAATATAACAAAATTACAGATATATTACTTTTTGACCCAGAAATCCCACTGTTAGGAATGTGGCCTAAAGACACACCTCCAACTCCTTTTAAGAGTAATCTGCTGGGTGTCTCCCTGAGCATCCCTTTCTCTACCCTCCAGGGAGCGCTTCTCATTTCCCTCCTGAGGAACCTTCGGCCTGCGGCCTCCTGGGCCGGGCAGAACCCCGCGCTCCCCCAGGCCACGGAGGACGGCTTCTCGGGGCAGCCCGGGAAGTGATGGACTTGCCTGGGCCATCAGCTGAGCGAGCGGCGCTGGCGACAGAGCAGGCCGGTCCGCAACCCTGTCAGGTGTCACTAGAGCTTGGTGAGGCCAAGGGCCCGACATTTGGCCCCAGGCGCGCATGCGTGCGTGCCTGCGTGTACTGCGTAAGCGTGCGTGCGTGCGTGCGTGCACTGCGTACATGTGCGTGCGTGCACTGCGTACATGTGCGTGCGTGCCTGCGTGCACTGCGTGGGTGGGTGGGCGTGCGTGCGCATGGGCGGGCGCGGGGTGTGCGTGCATGTGTGGTCGGGCAGGCGTGGTGCACGGGTGCGTGCGTGAGTGTGCATGTACGTGCATGTGTGCGTGCGTTGCAAGGGTTTGAGAAGCCGGCTCTTTCCACCTGCCCGAGCTTCCGCCATCGGACCCACGTGGAGCCGACTGGCTGCGGTCCGCCCACTTTTTCCTGAGGCTGATCGTGCCAGTAACGGGCCTTGGCTGCTTTTCATATTTGCTCTAGGAGCCCCGCCCTCGCCGTGTGAGGTGTGAGGTGTGAGGTGGAGGGTGGCCCTCGCCTCCCCGAGGAGTTCCAGGGAGGACGGAGCTGTCCCCCAGTTCACCCCGGTCACCAGAGGCCTTCCTGCCAGCGCTTTCCCGGTCTCGACAGGTGCGTGTGATGCGCCGCAATCGGGAGCAACTGGACTTCAGGGGGCCTGGGCCCGCAGTCCCCTCGGTAACAGTCCAAATCCGGGGCCTGGGCTGGCCCAGAGGTTCATTCTGGCACTAAAATTACACCACAAATGCCACCCAGTAGCCCTTCCGACCAGGTGCCCAGCGGTGCGGGCAGGACTGGTTAAGCCTCCGCCTGGGGGTGGGGATTCCGGCTGCAGCGCTGGATGGATAACCGTGTGCAACACTGATGGCCCCACTGGCCGCGTCTGACGGCATCCCCACGCCTTCCAGGGGAGTGATGCCAGAGCATTTACACGTTCAAAGAAACATTATTTTCTTATACTTCACTTTTATTTCCCCTCCATATTATAGAGCAGTATTTCGCTTTTTTAGAAGATCTGTGGATACGTTCTAGTAACTATAAATTTCACTTCAGGATAGTAAAGGGCACATGAAGTATTTATATTGTAAAAAGGAGGGTCGATGGGGCTTTTTGTCTTAAAAGGCCTCCCCCAGCCTTGACGTTGGACACTTGAGGACTCCAGGCCCTCGATTGGCCAAGTAGTGAGTTGACCTTGAGTTGACCTTGCGTTGCTCATAGCAGGGTACCTGCCTGTCTCTCCCGCTGAACCCAAAGTTCCTTGGAGGTTGGGGGAGCAGGTCTTCATCATCTCTGCCCGGCCCCCACACGTGCCAGCCGGGATGGGGACTCAGGAGGCCCCCCTTCACTGGAGGCCTGGGCGCCTGGGACAACGTCATCCCCTGGGGTTTGCGAAACAGAAGCTGCCCTGGAGGGATTTCCACACTCAGGGTGGGAGGGGCAGGGGGCGGGGGGGGGGGGGCGGGATGTGGGAAGCCTCTCTCAGTGTCTCTGCTTTTCCAGAAACACCAGCATCTCCCGCAGGCCGTTAATCAGTAATGGTTCCTCGGGGGCGCACTTTGGAACAGCAAATATTTGCTGCAAGCTCTCAGCTGCGCGCCCCAACCTCTGCCTTCGCCCTGAACGAAGGACCTTCCCAGGCACCCGGGGGCACCCAGACTGGTAAGAGGCAGCAGATTAAAGGGAGACCTTTGCAGTCCAACCAGCGAGGGGTGGGCTCTAAGGTGAGGGGGGAGTCTGGGCAGCGCCGAGCCCTCACTTGTGAGCCGGAGAGGCAGCGGTGGGGTGAGAGGTTGCTGTGGACACAGGGGCTTCCTCTGAGGAAGGAGAGGGATGAGGCTTTAAGTCCAAAGAGTTTGTGTCCGCAGCACTCACTGTTCAAACCACCCTCAGCGTCCTGCTCTCTGCCCCCCCACACCCCCCCACCACACCCCCATCAGCAAACCCCCCAACTCAGGGCTGGGTGGGGTGCTGCTCCACCTGATTCGGGACTGGGAAGTGGTGAGTGAGCTGTGTTTCTTCCCACTCGGGTTCTCTAGGATGATGCGTCCTCAGCGTGCTTGAGGGGCGCCCTGCGCACAGATTCTGTCCTGTTCAGTAGATGAGCGTGACCTTAGGGGATAGACACCTGGGTCTGTCCAGTGAGCAGCGTGCGGGGGCCGGGCACTCCTGGGGCCCGCTCCCCACTGACGGAGGAGCTGCGCAGGAAGACCTGGAACTGGAAGGGGGGACCTGTATTTGGGTGCTGGGAGTGTTTACTCACCGCTGTCAGGGAGAAGTGGCCTGACTCAGGAGCACGCTACCGCGGGGTGAATGCATTCACTGGCAGAGTAGTAAACGGCAGAGCTCAGAGACACTGTGGCTATTGCGGTTCCAGACAGCAATAAAGTGACCATCGTAATAAAGCGAGTCCCATGAAGTGTCTGGTTTTCCAGTGTCTACAAAAGTCATGTCTATGCTCTGGTGTAGCTTATCAAGTGTGCAATACTGTCATGTGTAAAACCAATATACATCCTTAATTAAAAAATACTTTATTGCTAAAAAATGCTAACCACCAGCTGAGCCTTCCGCAATCAAGCTCTTTTGGCTGTGGAGGGGGGCTGGCCCTAATGCTGAAAGCGCAGCAACATGAGGCAGGCCCGCGTACCGAACATGGCCAGGGTCCGTTTGGACGCTGCAGGAGGTACTTACCCAGCATTTGCGACTGGGAGCTCCTGAACTCGGCCTTGATGTTTAGAACTGCACAGAGTTCCCTAAACCCTGACATTTAGGAAACACAGCAGATGTGTTCCACTGGGTGAGGTAGTGACTTCCGGCACATTCTGCTGGGCCGTTTAGCATAAGCAAGAGCAGTGCACTGGGTCCCGGGCCAGTGTCGCTTGCGCCTGCGTGAGGGAGAGGCGGCTGGGGAACTCCATCCTGTCACACGGGGCCTGTTCAGAGTGAGGGTCTCCACTGCTGGGACTCCTGTGAGGCCTGCAGCCTCCCCTGCCCGATGCCCACTGGGCTGACTGGCTGCCCTCCCAGCCCCTCCTGGGGCATCTCGGTGACCTGCCCAGCCAGCCTCTGGGTCGCAGACCTGGGCACCAGGAGCTGAGTGTGGAGAATGTTGGGCCCACAGCCCAGCCCTGGGGTGTTTACGCAGACGGGAAACGTGCGGGTGCTCAGGAGCCAGGGAGCCTGGAGAGGTGGTCGGGCTGGGCCGGCTGGTGGTGAGGAGCATGGGGTTTGGAGACCCACTGCCAGGGCCAGAGGACTGGCTGCTCCTGGGGCTGAGAGCGAGGACGCACTTCACAGTCTCTGTGAGGGTTAGAGGTCGGCCCAGGCCTCACTCAGGACAAGCTGGCTCACGTCTGTCAGGGGCCTCCAGGTACAGTGGCGGAAGGGAGAGCTGGCAGGAGCTGGGAACTGGGCACCAGGGCTGTCAGAGGGGCGCGGGGGGCAGAATTCTCACTACCGAGTCAGGCAGACCCAGCACTTGCCCTTTCCTGGCCCTGATGGCTACTCCGACCCTCTGCATCCCCAGCCAAGCAGGCGCCAGACCCAGGGCCCCGAGACCCAGCTTGATGGGCTGCTGTTGGCCCAGCCATCAGGGGCAACGAGTGAAGCCGACCAATAAAGACCTGTGCACCTCCTGACCCCGCCCTGCTCTGACCCCGCCCAGGCAGGCCGTGGTCCAGACCACATCCTCTCTCATCCACTGCTTCATGAGAAGTGGGATGAGCAGAAAAGAGGGGAGGCCAGGAGCTGCCGCGGGCTAGGGCCCAGAGGGGGGTTGATTCTGTAACAGAATCCCCTCCTCGGGTGGACCTCAGCCACCCTTCTTCCTCCGGGTCTCCCTGAGGGGACTCGGCTGCATGAGCCAGAGGTAAGCCCCTGCCCACCCCTCAGAGGGAGGAAGTGGGTCACTGGTGGATGGACCACAACACAGGGACGAGGGACGGCATCAGGCATGATCACCAACCTGCTCTCTTCTCCCAGGAAGCCCTGCTGCTGAAGAGCAGCGCTCCCTCGGCCTCCACGCTGACCGGATGGCGGCGGTACTGCGCCTCCTGCTCCCCTGCCTCCTGGCCCAGGTGTGGCTGGTGCCCAGCGTGGCCCAGGCGAGGCCACAGACCCCTGCTGTCCAGAATGAGACTTTCCAGGAAGTGCAGGCCCCAGAGGAGGAGGAGGAAGAGGAGCCCTGGCTGATGGCCAGCAGGCACCAGCTCTCTGAACAGACCTCCAACTTGGGGTTCAGCCTGCTACGCAAGATCTCCATGAGGCATGAAGGCAATGTGGTCTTCTCCCCGCTCGGCCTGTCCTTGGCCATGGCGGCCCTGATGCTGGGGGCCACGGGGCAGACCAGAGCCCAGCTGGAGGGCGTGCTCAGCCTGCAGGCCCCAAGCCAGACGGGGCCCGGGCACCTGCCCGCCTTGTTTCGGCGGCTCAGACAGCACCTCTCCCGCAACCAGGAGCTGGGCCTCACCCAGGGGAGTCTGGCCTTCGTCCAGGAAGACTTTGACGTCAAAGGGACCTTCCTCAATTTGTCCAAGAGGTATTTCGATACCGAGTGTGTGACTATGAATTTCCACAATGCCTCGCAGGCCAGAAAGCTCATGAATCATTACATTAACCGGGAGACGCAGGGGAAAATCCCCACGCTCTTCGATAAGGTCAATCCCGACACCAAGGTCATTCTCGTGGACTACATCTTGCTCAAAGGTATTTTGAGAATGTTCTGCTCCCCCGCAAGCTGGTCCCTGCCAGCCCCGCCCTCTCCCGCTCGCCCCGCATAGGGTTAACGCCAAGTGATTTTCTGTGAGGCCGGGTCTCACAGGCAAACCGGAACAGGCGTTGGCCGTGTGATGTCCCGGCACAGGCTGGGCGTGCTCCCCATGGCCCTGCCGGTGGCCCACGTGCTGCGGTCCCTAGTTTCCAAGCACCTCTACGCAGTTCTCCTCGCCTCTAAGGCTCTGACACTGACTCTTCCGGGCACGTGATCTGTGAGATGTGGGTTACATCTTTGCTCCTTCGCTCGCTCCTTTTGTGAACTGGGGCAAGTGACAGTGTCTCTTGTCCTCAGCCTCTTAATATAGAAAATGGGGACCCTCCCACCTACTGTGCAGATGAGAGTGAGGCTCAGAGAGGTGAGCCTGGGCAAGGTCACATGAGGCCAGACTCAGCGAGGGGGTCCTGACACTCACACCAGACCCTGTCCGTCCTGCCCCCTAATGGGCAGGGGGCTTGTGTGGCCGCCGCTGCAGCAGGAAGCTGACACTAGGGCCTCGCCAAGCCCAGGGGAATGTGCTTCCCGCCACCAGGCACTGCGCCGGACAGTCTGTGTGTAGAGGGCCACGCTCTGCACGCTGCTGGCCTCTCTGGCTCGGGTGGCTGTGTCATCAAGGGTCCCCTTCTCGCAGGACCTGAGCAGCCATGCGTGGGAAGGTCCTCACTCCTGTCCCAGGACCCCTGCCCGCACGTGGCTGCGCAGACTAAGGGCCAGCAGAGGACAGGGCACGACGGGTGCACTTCCTCACTGCTGTGTGTCCCCAATGGGCCACAGGTGGATCCGGGTTCTGCCAGCCGGGAAAGAGGCTGGGACAGGCGGCCTCTGGGGAGTTCGTTTTGCTGCCTGAGCTGTGGTCAGAACACACCTCCCGGGCCCACCCTGCCCAGTTGGGGCAGAGAGGGCTGGGCAGCACTGCCCTCTGAGCAAGAATGCTACCCCGAAGGGGTGGTTTCCACACAGTTCTTTTCTTACTTGTCCAGGGAAGTGGTTGACCCCCTTTGACCCAGTCTTCACCAAGGCAGACACTTTCCACCTGAACAAGTACAAGACGGTTAAGGTGCCCATGATGTACAGCGCGGGCAACTTCGCCTCCACCTTTGACGAGAGACTCCGTTGCCACGTCCTCAAGCTGCCCTACCGAGGGAACGCCAGCATGCTGGTGGTGCTCATGGAGAAGATGAGCGACCACCTGGCGCTGGAGGACTACCTGAGCACAGAGCTGGTGGACACGTGGCTGAGGAACATGAGGACCAGGTACGCCAGGCCCCTACCCTAGACCAGCTCGGTCTCTGCGAGCACTCGCCACAATTCCGGGGCTCAGTGTCCGTCTCCGTGGCCGATGGGCTCCCTGGGAGCAGGGGCTGCATTTGCCCTGCTTCCCTCTGTCCTGGCATCTCTCACGGCGCCCGGCTCATTCATCCGCTCGGCCAGGCACTGCCACACATGCACAATGGAGCCCTCGTGGAGCTCACAACCCAGTGCAGGGAGCGAGGGGGACACCGCGGTGCAGGCGCCCCCAGGAAGGCCTGGAGAAGGTGGTGGTGGAAGTGAAGCAGGACCTGTGGGTGTTTGGGGGAGGAAGTGCTACAGGCAGAGACAGTCTGGGGTGGGAGAGTGCCTGGTGGGTTTGAGGAACAGCAAGGCAGCAGGGAGGAGAGGAGGTCTGATAACCAGGGCCCAGGCCCCCAGGGCCGTATATCACAGGCCCCCAGAAAAGAAGGGCTTTTCCTGAGGGACACGGGAAGCCCCAGGGGATCTGAGCAGAGGAGCACCAGGGTCTGACTCGTGTTTGAAAGAGCCATACGGCCATGTGGAGTGAAGACACTGGGGGGAGAGGGAAGGAGACCCGTCAGGAGGTCGCTGAAACCACCCCATCAGGATGCTGCCCTGGGCTATGGGGTGAGTGCAGCAACGCTGAGTGACCTAGGAAACTGGTACTGCTGTTTGGGGCTACACCTCATAAATTAAGAAATTGAGACTTCTTTAAAAAGACGAATCTAGTGTCCATTATTTGTTTTCATGTTTCTTATTTTTGAGCCAGAGAACTCCAGTGCATATAAAACAGAGCCAGAGAACTCCAGTGCATATAAAACAGAATATCAGCATGTCTGCCTGGGGGGCGGGGGGGGGGATCCCCTTCACTCCCTCCTGCTGTCCATCCTGACTCCTAAGACTCTGGAACGCCGCGGGGCTGCAGAATCTAGACTGTGGCTGCAGCGCCAGCCTGGGGCCTGCAGGATTGCTGCAAGCAAAGAACTGCTGCAAGGAGTTCCTTGCTTTGGGCTGTTTTTAAGACATAGGGAAAGGGATGCAAAATGCAGTATCCTTTGCTAATGAGACCGTGAGTCACTGGCTGGGAGATAAAACCATTCGGTGAAGCTGAAGTTACATATCTAATAAGCCAGAGCGGTTTCCCCTGAGCCAGAGCATCACAAAAGAATGGCATGAGCTACGTCCAGTGAGCGACTCATTAATGGAATGATCTTGGAGAGAGTGATCTTTGTAGCCTGCAGTCTACGGCTCTGTCTCCATTTCCCTGTTACATCTACTTGTACCACAGACACATAGAAGTTTTCTTCCCGAAGTTCAAGTTGGATCAGAAGTATGAGATGCATGAGCTGCTTAAGCAGATGAGAGTCACGAGAATCTTCTCACCCTGGGCCAACCTGGGCGAGCTGTCGGCCATGGCGAGAAACCTGAAAGTGTCTCAGGTAAGCCCGTCTCTTGTGCGGACCCCAACCCCGAGGATGAAGTCGGGCCAAAACCAACACAGGTTTTTGCAGATGATTTTAATGTTGATAAAATTCCAAGTTGTAGTAGAAGCTTAGATTTAAATTCCGAGGGCTTGACATAGCACCTGAGGTGGACGTTTTAAGAATTTTGAGCTACTTTATTAAAACATTAATTTCTCTTATGGAGAGCTCTCCCCCTCCTCTCACAAGCACTCAAGAAGTGTCCCCTGACAAGGAACTCATTCACGGGTTCATTTAAAATGTCATGAAGTCACACCACTCTCAAGATGAAAGAAACCCCCAGAAGCTACCTGCCCAACTTCCCACCCTGTTGGAACCCCCTCTATAATATCCCTACACATTATCCTCCAGTTTTCCTGCCCTCTTTCCTTCCTTCTTCCCTCCCTTTCTCCTCCTCCCTCCCTCTCTTCTTTGTAATGCTTCCAGTGACAGGGAAGCAACACTTTGAAAAGCAACTCAATCCACAAATGGCCAAAATTGTAATTGTTTTGTTTTCATATATATGGCTTTGGGGTGTTTTATCCCTATACCCCCACTAACTCATACTCTTGGGCCCTTGTTCTGCCTCTAAAGATTAGTCACCTTCCACAAGGAATCCCCTCAGCTCATCTGCTGTCTCAGTGGGAACCTGCTGGTTTCGAGGGGAGCCAGGCCTGTTACTGTGGTCGGAGCCGCCTAGGACATTGCGGGGAGCTGCCTACCACTCCTGGCCGCTCACTAACGCCAGCAGTAACGCCCTCATTATTACGACTGAGAAAATGTTCTGACATTTCCAAGTGGCAGCTACATCTTCCCCTGCTCCTTCTTAGCTGAGGGGTTTGACTACTATTTTCCCATTTTCTCGTTCCAAGAGATTAAAAATGGCAGCCCCCTGAGCAGGACTCAGCAGGGTGAGCAGGCCTACAGCCAGGCCTTCGTCTCGGGAGATGAGAGGAATAAACAGGACAGCCCCGCAGACCAGCACCTGCAAGGCTTTCTGCTGCAGACACGGCATGGTGACACCGTGTGCTCTTTATAGTTTAAGTGGCAAACCACTAACTGTCCTCCCTCTGTATGCTCCTGGAGAAGAACTTCCACTCCAGGACATGAGGGAACCCCCAGGAGCTACTACACTGATGCTTCCTTTATCTCTTATAATAATTAGGTTGGTCCATCACCCACTTAACATGAGGTGCCTGGACAAAAGGGCCTCCCAGCCAGGACAGGTGGCCCGAGTACAGGCAACCAGTCCAGGAAGTCCTCAGGGAGCCCAGCACTTGCCTGGGACTCAGAGCCGCACCAGGTGCTGGGAAGCTGCCGCAGACTAGCCACGCCCTCACCCAGCTGGCCCAGGCAGCGTGAGCACCTTCCCGAGGAGCACCAGCTGTGCCCAAGGATCAGCAGCACAGAGGCCGCGCTGATCTGACGCACGCGTGCAGGGGTTGGCCAGTGTTTCCCATTTGGGGTCCTGGTGTCTCCTGGTATTTGAGCTTCTAAGGCAAGTCCCTGGGCAACCTCAGACGCCTCCCCTCAGCACAGAGGAGCCCCATCCCACTCATTCCCAGGGGCATGGCCCTGTAGGAAGGACCACAGCAAAAGCTGTCGAGGGGCTCAGTTCCCTCCTCTTCACTGCCACCCACACGGTCTTCCACATGACTTCCTTTTCCAGGTTCTACAAAGAGCAGTGATTGAGGTGGATGAAAAAGGAACCGAGGCAGCGGCAGGAACCCTGTCGGAAATTATAGCTTATTCCATGCCTCCCATCATCAAAGTGAACCGGCCGTTTCATTTCCTGATCTATGAGGAAACCTGGAGGGTGCCCCTATTTCTGGGCAGGGTGGTAAACCCAACCCTCCTGTGATTGACGACAAGCACGAGGACGCGGTGCCCAGCGGATGCCGACCTGCCTGAGGTACGGGCACCCGCGCGGGCACTGGTGCTGGGTGGCAGGAAGGATGGCTCCTGTCTGCTGCTGGTTTGAGCCACTCTCAGAGAAATCCGAGTGTTCAAGTCAAACTTATTTTCAGGTGAGGTTTGCACAACCCGTTCGATATGTGCAGCTGCGACTAAGAGCCTTCGCTGCTGACCAAAGCGAGCTTAGTAGAATGCCTTTGCCCTCCTGTTACTCACCTACCTGGACACTCTCCAGATGAGCCTTTGGGAGGAAGACACAGACACATTCTCCATGAGTCACGTGCTTCACTCTCTACTTCCCTCTGGTGCAAAATAAGCATTTTCTTGTCATCTGCTGTAGAACCATTTCTTGCTGACTAAAATTAGAAAAACAGCCCAGCCCTGTGGCTCAATGGTTGAATATCAACCTATGAACCGGGAGGTCACGGTTTGATTCCTGGTCAGGGCACATGCCCGGGTTGCGGGCTCGATCCCCAGTAGGGGTGTGCAGGAGGCAGCCAATCAGTGATTCTCTCTCATCATTGATGTTTCTATCCCTCTCCCTTCCTCTCTGAAATCAATACAAATATATTAACCTGTCCTGATCCCAGCGTCTGATCAGTGCGGCCATTTCCTCCAGGCAGGTGAGAGATGCATCACATCACTTGGCAGAGGCATTCGCTGAGCCGCAGGTCACCCCGTTCAATACCTTCATTTTACAAAGGACGGGGATGGGGAACCAGACACAGGGTCACATTATGACTTTCAAGGGCCCCGGGCACTCTTGGGTCTTTCCGACATAAAAAAATAGATATGTATATTAAAAATTTGATTTTATGACGGCATTGGTATAATAATGAATATATTATGCACTGTGTTTGTCTTTATACCAATGCAGGTAAAGTATGTAACTTGCTGATTGCAAAAAGTAAAACATACATGAGCCCCAAAAGGTATCCTGGGCCTTCGGCACTGTGCCTACTGCACCTAATGGATGTGTCGCAGGACGTGGCAGAGAAAAGCAAATGCTTGCCACGGTTACCCAGTGGCCCCACGCCTATTTCTCTTTTCCTTCTTGCCACCTAAACCACCTGGTGAGGTCCAGCGGAACAGGCCGCGTGGGCTCGCTGCTCAGTCAGCCGCTGCGCTTAAACGAAGAGAAGCCTGGCCCGCGCCAAGGCCAACAGGAAAACAGCAAATCCCCGACGCTCTTAAGCGGTCACTTTCTGTTACAGAGACAAGAAAGTATTTTAGGAGTAAATTCTGAGACTCGTGACTAGGGCTAACTCATCTTGGAGCGTCAACTGTATTAATTAAATGCCTAATTGGACTTCTATCTGTTTGCTATCGATTTTATAGCTAAAATTAATTTTTTGATTAGTCATCTTAACTATTAATTTAAATCAGAGTATTGTGTGTCATATTAATGTGAACAGGTAGTAATATTAGGCTACAGTTTGAAGATTGACTTTTCATCGTTCTAAAATCTGGACACGGATTCACTGTGTACTCCTTCCAAGGGCACCACGTGACAGTTGGTAAGGGCAGGGCAATTCCAGGGCCTAGAAAGACACAAAATAGAGGACGAACTCCACCTGGCATTCCTCAGTGACCTGTCAGTATTCAGTTAACCAGGTTTATTTGTGGGAAGATACTAGAAAGAGAAATAAAAGAGGGTTCAATCAAATTACCTACTTTTAGAGATGAAACTTAGGGGGGAAGTCTATGAAAACATAATATCCTCTAACAGAAATATGGCCAAGGCCAGTTATGGAAAGGTTCATTGCCATTGAAGGGTTCATATAACATGCAGAGCAAACTCCCTCACCTCCCCACGGGCACCGCAAACAATGCGGCATAACGACTGTCACCAGCACGTTGCTCTCTGAGGCAGACCAGTGAAAAGTGCAGTCACTGACACAAAAAATTCAAGTTTTCAGCTGAGGGGAGAACCTGAACCTTACAACAATGTTAAGTGTCAGGTTTTTAAAACTGTTCCTACAGACACCCCCATACCCACAGTCTCTCACACAGGCTATAATAATGAGAACAGAGTATTGAATTAATCTAATTCATTTATCTTCGCTGTGAAACTCCTCAAGCTGAATTGCCTGTTCATTTCGGTTCAGATATTTCATGTTTGCCTACTAACCACAAGGCAAAATGGAGCCGTCCCTTCCAGAGCAAGGGGTCTGAGCTCAGCAAGTCAAATAATGGAAATGATTTTCAGATGCGTATGAGGTTGTGGAAGAATATTTTTATATGCCCCTTATTCTACCGCTATGAAGTAAAATCCATTTAAGCCCTACCTCCATTTCTGTCAGTAAAATTGAGCTCTACAGGTCTGTTTTTGCTTACAGTGCTGACCTGTGAAATTCTAGAACAGCGGTTCTCAACCTGTGGGTCGCGACCCCTTTGGCGGTCGAACGACCCTTTCACAGGGGTCGCCTAAGAACATCCTGCATATCAGATATTTACATTATGATTCATAACAGTAGCAACATTACAGTTAAGAAGTAGCAACGAAAATAATTTTATGGTTGGGTCATAACATGAAGAACTGTATTTAAAGGGCCAGAAGGTTGAGAACCACTGTTCTAGAACCTGTCCTTAAAATGCAGGTTTCCATAATTAACAAACAGCTGACGGTGATGTCCCTACTTCTCTGCAGTAAGGTGGAGGAGATCTTTCTTTCCCACAGCTAGTTTGAAGGAACTATCTGATACGTTGCTACGACAAGGGCTTTTACAAGAGTATCAGTCTCGTTTCGGTGTGAATCTAAGTATGTGTGGATGGTCATAACTGTCAGCAATTTGTGTTTTACTCTGATTTTATATATCTGGTTTTAGAAATATATATAATTTTTAAAAATATTTCAACGGTTTTAGAAATGATCATGTTCTAAAAAAGGAAAGGAAACTTCTGAGCATAATTTTGATTGACTGTGTGACTTGATTGCTTAGTGCAGTGATGGTGAACCTTTTGAGCTTGGCGTGTCAGCATTTTAAAAAACCCTAACTTAACTCTGGTGCCGTGTCACATATAGGAATTTTTTGATATTTGCAACCATAGTAAAACAAAGATGTATATTTTGATATTTATTTTATATATTTAAATGCCAAAAGAAAAATCAACCAAAAAAATGAGTTCGCGTGTCACTGGCTTAGTGCCTTGCAGTGAGACTGCACTGACCTCTCTACACCCCTGGATTGTAGGAGCTGTAGTGACTTTTCTCTGTCGAGTCGCTCTCCTCTTCTCTCACACGCGTAAAGGAAATAAAGGTTCCTAACTCTGCTAAATGTATTAGTGAACAAACAAACTGGAATTCTCCATTTTATTTAAAGTGACAGAGTCCATGCTGATTATGAATCACAGTGCTGGGAAACTGCTGTCACTCTGATGTCCCACTCACGCACCACAGACTCTCCCAGATCACAATGTGTCAAAGGGCATGTCAGTGTGCTGGTCGGAGACATCATTAAAATAGTTCAATGAAATCCATAAGGAAAGTACTAAATTAGCCACATGGTCAAGCTTCTCAAATGGGTTGAACAATTCCATTAACCTATCCTTAAATGAAAGATATTAAGAATCATAAAAATCGCCAACAAGAACCAAATGTAAGGAAAGGTGGAGAGAAACTGAGTGAAAGTTTCACACGAGTAGCTGTTCCTGAGTCATTTACAGTTGAGGTCAGCGTGCTTCTGTTACTCGTCACTTAAAAGTGAACTGTCTTACTCTTTCATTAGAGAATAAAAATTGCAAAAAAGTATTTAAAACTTTTTTCACAAACACAGGTATCTCATTAACCTATGCTTTATTTTAAGTAAATTCACTATTCATTATTTCACATTATAAAAAATAACCACACACGCATATGCATTCACAAATTAGATCATCTTTATCATACATCAATATATTTTAAAAAACAAAGATTTTCTAATATCAGTATAGTTATATGCTGATTGCATTTTGTAATAGAGAAGCTGACAATAGCTTCATACAGTATATCTCAAGATCTGACATTTTAAAATTAATAATCGTACATGTTCTACAGGCAAACTGTGATGGAAATATTAGCATTAGTATAAATAAAGGCTGTTGACATAGCATAAGCATGATAGCTCAGAGTAACAGCTGATTCAAACTAGATTCATCATTTTTAATTAAGGACAAATACAATCTAAAATGTAAACAAAGTATAAAATAAAATTTTCTAGGAAATCATGAATCTATTATTTTTAAGGTAATTGTGGCTAAAAGTTATCAGAAATCTTTGTGGAATTTTCATTGCCAAATTTAAGTTTCAGAATATCCGGGTACACCATATTGTCACCACAATCAGACTGGTAACATTGTGGACTGCTGTTTGTACCCTTTTCAGTGTGGTTGTTGGGCTTGGAGATTCGTGAGAAACAATGTCTTTCTTATTTACTCCCAGGCCCCCCTCCAAGTGATTCTCTAGCAGGGCATTTGCAATTGATGTGGGCTTTCATATAGTTTTTAAATGCTAAAGCTCTAGAACAAGTAGACAGATGGTTTCCTGCACAAATAACTTCAGCCGTGTCTCTCTGCAGCAGTTGTTAAAGCACATACTAAAGTTGTTTTTCATTACACTTCACTGTAACATTGGAATTCTGCAACCACATTATTATTTAAGAAATATATATATTATGCCTCCTACAGAATCTAATTTCAAATATGGGGCTTTTAGCAACATCAGCTGCCCTAATGTATCTCTTTTCCATTAATTAAAAAAAAAAAAAAAAGGAGCCCCAGCCATTGCTTTAGCTTTTGTCCATCAATCACATTATCTCCAGGTGTCTTTGTTTTGCCTCCTTCATCAAGCAGATGATTTAAGGATTGGATTTTCTGGATTTTCTTTGTCAAAAAGGATGAGAAAAAGAGAGGGGGGAGGAAAAGAAAGAGGAAGGGAAGAAAGGATGGATGGAAGGAGAGGTGAGGGAGGAAGAAAGGAAAGGGAAAGATAGAAGAAAGGAGAAAACAAAACAT